TAGTCTTATTTATGAATGGTGATCACCCTGTAAATTAAATGTTCTAGCAGTGAAGGGAAAATTCATTCCGAAACTTTGGTCAAAATGTCGCTGGACTTCCTTTCTAAACTGATAGTTACCTTTTCTATTCCACTTTCCCAAATCCGCGTCAGATTTTTAATCGACCTTTCTTCGCTCACCATCAGATTTACACAGACTCTTGTCGAACTTTCCTGATCTAAAGGGATTTTCAACAGCTGGATGAGAGATAAAACGTGCTAGATAAAGCAAGTAAAGATGTTTGTAATGATGTGAGATGTCTTGATTGGACATCTATACCACCCCCCTCCCTCCCCATATCCGAACAGCGCCAACACGCGCGGTGTGACATGAGCATTCGTAGGTCAGTCCGTGGCGAAGGCATGTCACCTGCAGTCGAGTGTCAGGGTTCAGGTGAGCCCGTAGAAGCAAGCAGTTTCCAGCATCCTGTAGAGGAACGGACATGTTTTTTGCGCGTCTCTGCCTTCTGGGGCCATGGTGTCGCCATGCTTCACAGCAACAATTACGGTTTGATTTTCATTGTGAAATAGAGAAGCAAAAGAAGCGGGAGACCAACCAGATCAAGCAAAAAGATCCGGTAGTAATATCCAAAGTTCCGTGTTAAAAACTATTGATCAACAATGCTTTATTCTTTTTGCGGGAAATTGAAAATCATGAAGCTGCCACCGATCCCCGTACTGTTGCGCTGCCCGGTAGCTTCATTGAAACCTGAAATTTTTTGACAAAAAGCACAGACACTAAACACACCGATAATGCATGAAAGGCGCTTACGCAGAGCTGGGTTCTGCTGTCATCATGGTGGAACTGGATGTTGTGGCCGCTATGGAAGAAGTGGACTGGGATCTTCTTGTCGGCATAGTGGCAGTGTGCTGTCGTCCCGTCATGGTTGATTGGGATTCTCCTGTCGCCATGGTGTACCAAGATCTTCCTGTGTGCTGACGTACCGTCAGTGGTAGATCGGGTCTTACTCCTGTCGCCCATGGTGGACCGGGATCTTCTTGTCGGCCATAAATGTGCAGGTGTGCTGTCTTGCAGTCATGTGTAGATCGGGTTCTCTGCCCCCATGGTGTACGCAAGATTGCTTCCATGTGTGCTGACTGTACGGCGTCACTGTAAGATCGGGGTTCTTCCCTGTCCCATCGCGGCTGATCCAGATCTTCCTGTGTGCTGACGTACCGTCACTGTAGATCGGGGTTCTTCTGTCCCCATGGTGGACCAGGATCTTCCTGTGTGCTGACGTACCGTCACTGTAGATCGGGGTTCTTCTGTCCCCATGGTGGACCAGGATCTTCCTGTGTGCTGACGTACCGTCACTGTAGATCGGGGTTCTTCTGTCCCCATGGTGGACCAGGATCTTCCTGTGTGCTGACGTACCGTCACTGTAGATCGGGGTTCTTCTGTCCCCATGGTGGACCAGGATCTTCCTGTGTGCTGACGTACCGTCACTGTAGATCGGGGTTCTTCTGTCCCCATGGTGGACCAGGATCTTCCTGTGTGCTGACGTACCGTCACTGTAGATCGGGGTTCTTCTGTCCCCATGGTGGACCAGGATCTTCCTGTGTGCTGACGTACCGTCATTGTAGACCGGGGTTCTTCTGTCCCCATAGTGTACCAGGATCTTCCTGTGTGCTGACGTACCGTCATTGTAGACCGGGGTTCTTCTGTCCATGGTGGCCGCAGGTACTTCCTGTGGCTGACGTACCGTCACTGTAGATCGGGGTTCTTCTGTCCCCATAGTGGACCAGGATCTTCCTGTGTGCTGACGTACCGTCACTGTAGATCGGGGTTCTTCTAGTTCCGCCAATGGTGGGAACGCAGAGATTCTTCCTGTGGTGCTGACGTATACCGTCATTGTAGACCGGGGTTCTTCTGTCCCCATAGTGGACCAGGATCTTCCTGTGTGCTGACGTACCGTCACTGTAGATCCGGGGTTCTTCTGTCCCCATGGTGGACCAGGATCTTCCTGTGTGCTGACGTACCGTCACTGTAGATCGGGGTTCTTCTGTCCCCATGGTGTACCAGGATCTTCCTGTGTGCTGACGTACCGTCACTGTAGATCGGGGTTCTTCTGTCCCCATGGTGGACCAGGATCTTCCTGTGTGCTGACGTGCCGTCATCTGTAGATCGTGATTCTTAAAACTGTCGCCGCCATTGGTGGACAAGGATGATCTGTCTGTCCGCCATAGTGGCAAGTGTGCTGTCTTGGCAGTCATGGCAGATCGGGCCTCTTCTGTCCCCATGGTGTACCAGGATCTTCCTGTGTGCTGACGTACCGTCACTGTAGATCGGGGTTCTTCTGTCCCCATGGTGTACCAAGGATCTTCCTGTGTGCTGACGTACCGTCATTGTAGATCGGGGTTCTTCTGTCCCCATGGTGGACGGGGATCTTCTTGTCGCCATAGTGTCATGAGATCTTCCTGTCACCATGGTGGCAGGGTGCTCTGTTGTCGTCTTGCTTGTCGCCACTTGTGCGCCTCACGCAAAGATTGTTCCACACTACGAATCTTGCATGAAGTTGCCACTTGCAAGTGTTTGCCTGCACCCATATAAATTCTGCCGTTGGTGTAAATTCCTAAATTGGAAACATGAGGAGGCATAGTAGTGAACTCATCAGGCTTCCACCTCCCATTTTGAAACGAAGCATTTTTGTGGGTATGTGTGGGGATGCTCCTGCTCCGCTCCAGCTCCAGGAGCTGGACTGATCTTCCTTTTATCGTGTAGGTTGAATTGTACTAACTGATTGTTGCCCCATTCGTTGTAGTTTTTTTTCTAATAAAATCGTTTCTGCTCTCCGTGTGGTGTTCACTCGAAGGAGTCAGACACACGTGGGCCTACTCCAGGTTGTACATGGGTCTGTATCTGGCAAGAAAGCAGTGATATTGATGCTAAAGAGTGTTGGATATTGTGTCCTAACCCTACAAATAAGGATCACTCCTTTACTAAAGGCTCCACACCAAAGAGGCTCACGGGATGAAGCGAATCACTGACATGCTTTGCATGGAAGAACTGCTTTTGCGAACTGAGAAAATTTCTGCGGTGAAAAGTAAGCACGATGGTCACGCGAGAGTCGATTGACGGTTCCCACTCAGAAGAGTCTCTTGCGGTTTGGCATGCAGGGAATTTATTGTCACATGTCAGGTGGGCCTTCTTGTGCAGGCAAAGGCTCACACTGTGATCTGGGTAAGGGTAATCAAAATTGATTGAACCTGAGGTAAAGAAACTGTTCCGTAGTATCTATGGACCACAAACGCCTCAATTAATCAATGAAACTAGCTACTCATTGATTTCGAGGAACCGGCTCTGCTGGCCGTCTCACTCTGAATTGGAATCAGGACGTCGCTGCCGCGCGTGCGCACCGCTAGTACATACGCACTTTATTGAAAACTGTTCATGTGCAGTTTTATTCTTTCGTGTCAGCCGCAAAAATACCAGTACTTTTTGATATGGCGCTAGCTAGCTCATCGGATTTACCTTGTGAGAATCAGGAGGCATTTCAGCGTCATTTCTCTACGTATTCGGCGCGAGCCCTTGCTTTAACGCTAGGGTGTTGGTTGCTGGAAATCAGTGATTCTGCAATAGACGTGTTTACAGAAAAGAAGCGAGAACTACAGAAAGAAGTCACTTGTCAAAAGGTTACAACGCGTCGTGGTGCCACACGTTGCGTGGGCTGTAGTTCATATATGGACTACATTAATACGCTCGTTTTAATTTCAGCAAACGTTATTCAAAAGGCAAAGGGAAGGAATGTTCAGGGGCAGGCACTGATTGCCCTCCTCGAATTAACCATGCAGATTTTATTTGTGGACGACGCTACTCCCCGGAAAAAATCCTGAAAAGTAGGAAAGGTCATGAAGAATAAATCCCTCTAGCTTATAAGTAACGTATTTAATATTGTGTACGCCGAGACTTAGAACTAATAGGTCGATAGAGAAATCGCGCTGAGTCATGATCCCGATGATGAGAGCTGATTACAGGCGGCGGCAACGCGGAAAGGACAGAAGGAACGACGACGACCGACCGGACGGCGACTTCCCGCACTTCCTCCCGGCGACCTCGGGTCCGTAAGGGCCCGTCATGCTTCAGTACTCGGTTCTAGTTATTCAATAAATATTCGTTGACTATCAGCCTAAGACTTGCACAGAAAGGGGTGTAAGACCCCCACTCACACTCTATTTCACTACAACGTTTTACTATGTCGCTCGGAAATGTCTCGATAGGGAATCTGTGGTGAATGTTCATCTTCGAATTTCAAAAGCATTAGCCCTGTCCCGACGACTTCAGTTACTATGGACTGTATTCTGTCTTAAAAATGTTTTCTGTTAAATCTGAAAGTAGCTCTTGTACAATCTGAATGCAACTATGCTCTTCCACCGTGATTCCCGCGCTCTGCCAATATCCGAAATGTATAAATGTTTTCCACCAGCGATGTCCATTTTGATTCATGAAAATGCATTACACAGTCCATGACGTAAATGAAAAAAAATTTCGTGGCTTTCACTTATTGATGACCTTCACGTCATTGTGACACGGCACTGAAGGATCGGCAACAGAGAAACGACTTTGGATGGAGATTAGTGAGCCTATTGCCGAGGTTTTTTATTCAGGAAAAAGGAGTAACCACTCACCCGCTGTCATAAACACACGATATAAATAAGTAAGAGCCGCACTGCTTATAAGCACACCCGAATTCGGAAGTTCTTGCATTTATCATCTGAAAATCTAGTGAATCCGTTTTTCAGCTTTTTAGCGTGGAAGTAAATGGATGAATTACGTTAGCTAATCCCTGAATACTAGGGTGATAGAGATTGGGTGCAATTTTTGCATGATATCGTTCTCCTTCGTACAGCAGCAATGACTGACCCAGTCTCAGAATGGAATTTGAGACCTTCCCCCTCAATCTGAAATATTTGCCGTTAAGCATTTTTGTTCAGAAGGCGTATAATCAAATACGGAGGACAAACTCACTTCAAAAAATTGTGAGCATGATCAGTCAGCTTTCCGTGAATGCACGACGAGATTTGATCTTGTGCCTTTTGTTCTAGACTACAGTTCCATGTCTGAAATTTCTCAAACTTTATGTAAGCGGATTGCGAAATCTCAAAGGTCACTGCAAAGACTAAACTAGATTGATAAGACTCTCCTGGCTCTGCTAAAAATGGACGTTTTCACGCGGCGTCAGCTTATTTACCAAGGTTGCCCCAACCCCAGAAGACAACGAATGGTTGAAAAAAGCAGGCGTCGGGCTTCAACATGTGCATGCAGGTTTGCCTCAGTAGAAAAGTCGTGTAGTAACGAGAAAACTATTCCTCACAAGCTCACGGGGCAGGTAAATCAAGTTACCTAGTTGGGTAAGAGACGGTGTAATGAAGGGCTGTAGATTTGGTGAACCACTTTTCATAGGAAGTGAAGACCATCTGTTCACAAAGCATTCAGTTCACTCACCCGTCACTGTGCACCTTCCTCCCTAAGCTTAGGCAATGCCCCTCTCTGGTTTATAAAAACATCTGCACGCCGTAAAATTGAATGTCAAGAGTTCACAAGGAAAGCGCTGAATGTAGTCAACCGTTCTATGCAACCCATTTAAGGTAGTAGTAGGGGTCGCACCTGAGTATGTGTGTTCCATGGCGCGATTATGTGCCCTGCTTCGTGCTAGTTAGAGGCTAGAGGGTTAGTCTTCTCGTTAGATGCCTTTGATATAAAAGTGAAAAAATATGGGGAGCTTGGCTTGGTGGGAGCATCCCGCCATTTTCAATCGATCACTGTCGATGTCTCCTGTGGAGAAAGCTCGCGAAGCTATCACCTATTGAAAATCTGCAGTCGGCTTCATCATTACTCATTTAAAATCCTAGGTGAGAGATTCCTTCCAGAGATAATTCAGATTACATCTTCTCCTCAAAACTAGTGACTACTCACGTACCAATTGATACATGTTTTCCGCCGGTCCAAGATAAGCTCGCCTGTACCTTCCCGTAAGGAAGTACATACGGTTTCCAAGTGACACTTCTCGACGAACAGCATTGTGATACTCAAGAAACACTTTCCTTGCACTGTCAGTCTGTTCTAGATTGCTTGAAGGGCAATAATCTAAACCGTATTATGAATTGACACAAATATACTCGAAATCCCTGAGATCGGGTAGGCGTGGCCGCATGTTTCAACTTAACCTGAAGGTGTCTATGCTTCTGGTGAGATATTTTCATCTTGACACAATTGTTGTCGTGTCTCTGTCCAAACAGAACAAGATGACAGTTGTCCCAGACTGGAATATTCCACGAGTAACCAATTCCGTGCCATGTTCAAATGCCACGCCTACCCTGACTCAGGGATAAGGAGTGTATCCTCTCTATATATAAAGCAGAAGTTGTGTGTGCGTGTGTTTGTGTGTGTGTTTGTATGCTTGCGTGTTCGCCCGAAACGGACGGACCAATAGGAGAATAGGCTCCGCCCACAATGGGCGGGGCCTATGTATAGCTGAGCGGTGTCTGTTGAAACGTTGTCAACGTTGTCAACAAAACACTTAAAAGCCGTCAACTTTGGGATGGGGGGTGAGGGCATGTTGAAAGTCACAAACCAAGCCTCGCACACAATAAACGGGGCGTGCACCGAAGTGAGTAATGCCAACGACAAAAATTCGTAAAATTCCTTCGGAAGATCACGGGGACCCGGGACAAAATCATTCTCTATGCACCACGTTAGACTACACCCACAATGGGCGTGGGGGCACACCCGAAGTGAGCGGGGCGTTTGTTCGGGCGGGCGGGGCCTAACGGCCTAACGCAAATCTTCAAAATTCAGACCCGGAACTACTCGGGCAGCGGGAAAACGGACTCGAGTAAAAAGTGGGCAGGTAGATAAACAGAAGGAGGCACACCCGAACTGGGCGTTGGAAAGAGCCCGGCAGATTGCAGTCGGCGGGCGTTTGTCTGGGTAGGCGGGGACCAAGTAAAAATTTCGAAGTTCAAACCCGGAACTACCCGAGCAGCGGGAAAACGTGGAGTAAGAAGTGGGTCGAGGTTGATTCGATCGATTTTTGCGAGCAGTGTTTGGATGAACCAGCTCTGTGATCGACTCGAATTTTGTTACAGATTCGAGTGGGCTGCATTCTATGGAGAGGGGGGGCGAGGGGCGGGGGTAACATAAGTGAAGACACACCCCAGCGGATGAGATGCGCGCCGAGTCGGCGGCGCCTGCTGCAAAAGTTCATAATATAGTCGCAAGGCAAGTGAGAACAGCAGTGAATATGAGCTCATAATCGAAAAATTCATAACTTACTACCAATTTTTTGCATTTATTTATTTGTTTAATTACCTGCTATTCATTCTACAACAACTCAAACACACACACCGAGCACACACACACTTCCACTTCAGTTCATCCACTACCGGCATTCCACCCCTCGCCTTTACGAAAATTTCACAACCGTCCACTAGGGGGGGGGGGCAGTTTGGATGGCCGGGGACCCACTTCACACGCATAAGGAGGATGGCCGGGGACCCACTTCACACGCATAAGGAGGATCGCCCGCCGAAGGCGGGCGATCCGACTGGCCCTCAGTTTGGATGGCCGGGGACCCACTTCACACGCATAAGGAGGACCGGGGACCCACTTCACACGCATAAGGAGGATCGGCCGGGGACCCACTTCACACGCATAAGGAGGATCGCCCGCCGAAGGCGGGCGATCCGACTGGCCCTCAGTTTGGATGGCCGGGGACCCACTTCACACGCATAAGGAGGATCGGCCGGGGACCCACTTCACACGCATAAGGAGGATCGCCCGCCGAAGGCGGGCGATCCGACTGGCCCTCAGTTTGGATGGCCGGGGACCCACTTCACACGCATAAGGAGGATCGGCCGGGGACCCACTTCACACGCATAAGGAGGATGGCCGGGGACTCCCCTTCAACGCATTAAGGAGGATTGGGGCCGGGACCCACTTCACACGCATAAGGAGGATGGCCGGGACCCACTTCACACGCATAAGGAGGATCGCCCGCCGAAGGCGGGCGATCCGACTGGCCCTCAGTTTGGATGGCCGGGGACCCACTTCACACGCATAAGGAGGATCGCCGGGACGGCCACTTCAATGGTCTGACTGGGTCTATAGGAGATCGCGCCCGCCGAAGCGGGCGATCCGACTGGCCCTCAGTTTGGATGGCCGGGGACCCACTTCACACGCATAAGGAGGATGGCCGGGGACCCACTTCACACGCATAAGGAGGATCGGCCGGGGACCCACTTCACACGCATAAGGAGGATCGCCCGCCGAAGGCGGGCGATCCGACTGGCCCTCAGTTTGGATGGCCGGGGACCCACTTCACACGCATAAGGAGGATCGCCGGGACCCACTTCAACAGCATAAGGAAGGATTGGCCGGGCGGACAGGCCACTTCACACGCATAAGGAGGATCGCCCGCCGAAGGCGGGCGATCCGACTGGCCCTCAGTTTGGATGGCCGGGGACCCACTTCACACGCATAAGGAGGATCGGCCGGGGACCCACTTCACACGCATAAGGAGGATGGCCGGGGACCCACTTCACACGCATAAGGAGGATCGCCCGCCGAAGGCGGGCGATCCGACTGGCCCTCAGTTTGGATGGCCGGGGACCCCACTTCACACGCATAAGGAGGATCGGCCGGGACCCACTTCACACGCATAAGGAGGATCGCCCGCCGAAGGCGGGCGATCCGACTGGCCCTCAGTTTGGATGGCCGGGGACCCACTTCACACGCATAAGGAGGATCCGGGGACCCACTTCACACGCATAAGGAGGATCGGCCGGGGACCCACTTCACACGCATAAGGAGGATGGCCGGGACCCACTTCACACGCATAAGGAGGATGGCCGGGGACCCACTTCACACGCATAAGGAGGATTGGCCGGGGACCCACTTCACACGCATAAGGAGGATCGCCCGCCGAAGGCGGGCGATCCGACT